AAACTACAGAGAGACACAAAACTACACCAAAGGACTACAAAGAGACACAAAACTACAAAGAGACACATAACTACAAAGAGACACAAAACTACAGAGACACAAAACTACAAAGAGACACCAAAGACAATAAACTACAAACTCCTGCCTCGCTCCATCACTGCGATTATCAGGGCGTGGCAGCCATCTTGGACCCAGGCCCCTGAGAGTTTAATTTCATTCTCTGCTGCTTCACACACACACACACACACACACACACACATACACACACACACACACACACACACACACACACATATGTGCAGCAGAGAGGGACCAACAGGAGGGGAAATCAAACGCACCCCGAGGCTGAGACTCTTTAAAGGAAGTCAAACAGCCTCTAAAGTAAAAATACTTCCCGTCTGCTGGGAGGAGTCTGGATATTTAGAGGAGAAAACAAGTCAAGACGTTATAGTTTTAAAAATCTGATTATTTCAAGAAAAAAAGGCGATAAATATCAACTTAAAAGCTTGAAAAGGGTTTGAATTGCACACAGAGATAGTCTCTCTCTCACTCACACACACACTCACACACACACACACACACACACACACACACACACACACACACACACACACACACACACACACACACACACACACACACACACACACACACACACACACACACACACACACACACACACACACACACACACACACAGTCAGTAAACAAACTCCTAATGAGCTTCTTTAATTACTTTTGTTGCTAATTGGTTTACATGCAGATCAGCCGCTGCAGAGACTCTGTGTGTTATTGAATACAGACGCATCGGATTATTAGAAATACATCAATCAAACACATCGTACGTGATAGGCTAAGGGGCGGGACATCTCTAAGATGGTTGACCAATCACAATAGAGCTGACCAGCTAACCAATCAGAGCAGACTGGGCTCTGGTTTCAGACGGAGGGTGAAAAGAGGTGCTGCAGCACAGAGAGTATGAGAAAAACACATACTGAACATCAGCAGGAGAGGACTCTTTAAAGTAGAGACACTACATACTGATATACACCTGAACATCAGCAGGAGAGGACTCTTTAAAGTAGAGACACTACATGCTGATATACACCTGAACATCAGCAGGAGAGGACTCTTTAAAGTAGAGACACTACATACTGATATACACCTGAACATCAGCAGGAGAGGACTCTTTAAAGTAGAGACACTACATGCTGATATACACCTGAACATCAGCAGGAGAGGACTCTTTAAAGTAGAGACACTACATACTGATATACACCTGAACATCAGCAGGAGAGGACTCTTTAAAGTAGAGACACTACATACTGATATACACCTGAACATCAGCAGGAGAGGACTCTTTAAAGTAGAGACACTACATACTGATATACACCTGAACATCAGCAGGAGAGGACTCTTTAAAGTAGAGACACTACATACTGATATACACCTGAACATCAGCAGGAGAGGACTCTTTAAAGTAGAGACACTACATACTGATATACACCTGAACATCAGCAGGAGAGGACTCTTTAAAGTAGAGACACTACATACTGATATACACTTGAACATCAGCAGGAGACGACTCTTTAAAGTAGAGACACTACATACTGATATGCACCTGAACATCAGCAGGAGAGGACTCTTTAAAGTAGAGACACTACATACTGATATACACCTGAACATCAGCAGGAGAGGACTCTTTAAAGTAGAGACACTACATACTGATATGCACCTGAACATCAGCAGGAGAGGACTCTTTAAAGTAGAGACACTACATACTGATATACACCTGAACATCAGCAGGAGAGGACTCTTTAAAGTAGAGACACTACATACTGATATACACCTGAACATCAGCAGGAGAGGACTCTTTAAAGTAGAGACACTACATACTGATATACACCTGAACATCAGCAGGAGAGGACTCTTTAAAGTAGAGACACTACATACTGATATGCACCTGAACATCAGCAGGAGAGGACTCTTTAAAGTAGAGACACTACATACTGATATACACCTGAACATCAGCAGAGAGGACTCTTTAAAGTAAAGACACTACATACTGATATACACCTGAACATCAGCAGGAGAGGACTCTTTAAAGTAGAGACACTACATACTGATATACACCTGAACATCAGCAGGAGAGGACTCTTTAAAGTAGAGACACTACATACTGATATACACCTGAACATCAGCAGGAGAGGACTCTTTAAAGTAGAGACACTACATACTGATATACACCTGAACATCAGCAGGAGAGGACTCTTTAAAGTAGAGATACTACATACTGATATACACCTGAACATCAGCAGGAGAGGACTCTTTAAAGTAGAGACACTACATACTGATATACACCTGAACATCAGCAGGAGAGGACTCTTTAAAGTAGAGACACTACATACTGATATACACCTGAACATCAGCAGGAGAGGACTCTTTAAAGTAGAGATACTACATACTGATATACACCTGAACATCAGCAGGAGAGGACTCTTTAAAGTAGAGATACTACATACTGATATACACCTGAACATCAGCAGGAGAGGACTCTTTAAAGTAGAGACACTACATACTGATATACACCTGAACATCAGCAGGAGAGGACTCTTTAAAGTAGAGACACTACATACTGATATACACCTGAACATCAGCAGGAGAGGACTCTTTAAAGTAGAGACACTACATACTGATATACACCTGAACATCAGCAGGAGAGGACTCTTTAAAGTAGAGACACTACATACTGATATACACCTGAACATCAGCAGGAGAGGACTCTTTAAAGTAGAGACACTACATACTGATATACACCTGAACATCAGCAGGAGAGGACTCTTTAAAGTAGAGACACTACATACTGATATACACCTGAACATCAGCAGGAGAGGACTCTTTAAAGTAGAGACACTACATACTGATATACACCTGAACATCAGCAGGAGAGGACTCTTTAAAGTAGAGACACTACATACTGATATACACCTGAACATCAGCAGGAGAGAACTCTTTAAAGTACACATTATGATGCGTTCAGGCTCTTTTTTTGTAAAAATCTGTATTGGTTGAAGGTAAATTACAACGTTGTCGTGATGCGTTCACATCCAGTGGGACACTTGAATAAATCCAGGTGTTTTCCAGCAGTATAAACAGAGGTCATTATGAAACCAGTATGCTGACACTATTTAAAGAGGTTCAGGGTGGTTACCGTGGCATTGAGACTTTAAAGAGGAATTTAGAGTTTGTCTTAATTACTAAATGTCTTACATCCCTAAATAACTCCATCTATAATATTTGGTGGATCTGCAGGCCTGAATGCATCCTTTAAGCGACGTGTGGTCACTGACGGAGGAGACGGGGAAACCTCATCTCCACATTTAAAAGAAGATTGCAATGTCAGTTTTTCCAATATATGAATCATCTCATGAAATAGGAGATGCTGCAGGTCACATTAAACACACTGCCTTTAAATGTTAACCACCTCTTATATCATGCACTCATCAATAAATCCATGCACGTGAAGAAGAGCTGCAGGACATATTAATATAATAAGGTCTTTTAGCAGAAACACACAAGCTGTGTACAGATCACTCTCTGGATACAAGCTTCAAGAAATGATCATAATATTAGAAAATGTGCATCCCAGTGTCTCTGCGTCCAACGTGAGGCGTTTCAATGTCAGAATATATTCACGTATGATATCAAAAGGAGCTTTTAAAGACTGCGTTATCGGTGCTTCAGGAAGATATTTAGTGTTTGCTTCTGGTGTTTTAAAATCAGAGAACATTTGATAATCATCTGTGATCTGCAGAGTGTTTCTCTCAGTGCGAGCCGCTGCCACACAGCTGCAGGAACTCAATAAACGGTCAATAATTAAGGAGGAATCTGGGTTTTAATAACTATACAAACACTCTGGATGAAATGCAATTTAAATGGGAAGTTGTAATCACGAGATAAAGTGAATATTATCATTTATTTTTACAATTATCACTGGAAATGAAGCAGAGACGAAAAACTCCACAATTATATACTGTGTTTGACTGGTTATACTGGGCTGATGCTGCAGCTCCACACACACACACACACACACACACACACACACACATACACACACACACATACACATACACATACCCACACACACACACACACACACACACACACATACACACACACACACACACACACACACACATACACATACACACACACACACTCACAACACACACACACACACCTCACACACACACACACTCACACACCACACAAACACCACACATACACATACACATACACATACACATACACACACACACACACACACACACACTCACACTCACACTCACACTCACACACACCACACACATACATACACACACACACACACACACCACACACACACACACACACACACACACACACACACACACACACACACACACACACATTGCTGGTTGCAATAAATGTATTTCTTTGCAGTCCTTATTGTCAGTCTTCATTCATTTATTCGCCAGGTATATGTTTTGTATATTTCTATTCAATTAGCTGTTTTTTCATTATCAGTATTTATCGGATTGTCTATTTTTTAGTATTTATTTGTATATTTAAAGACAGTTATAGGCATTTCTTTGCAGGACTTATTGTCAATTAAATGTTGGAATTTCTATATTGATTTCCCTTCAGACGCATTTCTTTGCAGTACTTTTCTCATAATTGTATTTATTGCCAGTATTTATGAATGCATTAATTTATTTACAGTAAGTGCATAATAATGTATTTATTTTTATATTTTATTATTTATTCATCAACTATTTTCTCTTTCCTCTCAGCTTCTGTTTAAAACATTTCAAAGTGTTTTATACTGAGGTCAGCGGAAAACAGATCGAGATGGAGAAAAGGGAGGAGATTTTCCGGATGGAAACTTGGAAACTGAAACTCTCCCATGTTTTCTCCCCCTTTCTCTCTCTCTTTCTCCCCCACTCTCTTTACTATCTTACCTTTGAAGGTGTCTGCCCGCGCGCCCGTTAGTCCGCTCAGGGAAATCAGCGCGAGGAGCAAAGTTAGTGCGCGCTCCATGTTGGAGAGAAACTACAGAAACTCCACTTCTTCTGCTTCTGTAGTTCCTCTGTCCCTCTGTCTGTCCTCCACTCTTCTTCTCCTCCTGTAGTTCCTCTATGTCTCTGTCTGTCCACTTCTTCTTCTCCTCCTCTGTGTCTCCTCCACTTCTTCTTCTCTTGCTGTAGTTCCTGTTTTCTGTTTATTCTGTAGTTCCTTACACTTATTTTTCTCCGCTGCGGTTTCTCTGATTCTTCTGCTGCTGTTTCTTTTACTTCTTATTCTTCTTCTCCTTCTGTAGTTTCTCTGCTGTTAAACTCCACTTCTCGTTCTTCTTCTCCTGTTGTAGTTCCTGTGTAGTTTCCTGTCTGCAGAGAGACAGACAGACAGGCTCCGGTATTTCTCTCCGGTTTCTCCTCCGTGTCTCAGACCGGAGACTGACTCCGTTTACCGAGCAGCCTCTGACGTCACAGGGGGAGAGAGAGAGAGAGGGAGAGAGAGAGAGAGAGAGAGAGAGAGAGAGAGAGAGAGAGAGAGAGAGAGAGAGAGAGAGAGGAGAGAGAGAGGAAAGCACTTGACAGATATTTAAATTATTTTTGTATGACTTTTCTGTATTTCTATTATAATGAACCACACTTTTTTATGAGTTATATTATAATAGATGACACTCACTTTATTTTAATATATTTAATATATGAATGTGTACTTTTATTGATTTTTATCTTTCAACATTTGTGTTTATTTTTTATTATTATTTTAGATTAAATCCTTTATTATATGAACTTTAAATTGTATATTTTTTTATGTATTTTAATTTATTTTGGGGGAAAAGGTTCTGTATTTTTATTCTTAATTAACTAATTGAACTCACATTTTTATTTATATTTTTCTTATATTTGTAATGTTCACTGTATTTTACGTAATTTAATTAATTTTCATATTTTAAACGTGTTTTATTGTAATTCCTCCGCACAGATGTTGCTCTAACGGCGAGTCAGAGGGACCATGCTGCCCCCTGCTGGCCGCTCTCAGTACTGCACCTTTAAAAACTCACTAAATATCAGATTTCATTTCTAAATTCTGCTCATTCCTCAGCTGTGCTGCATAGCTCACTGTTTAATCACCAACAGGGACTTAACCTGCTTTTACATTCACTATTCCCATTGGGAAAACTCATTTTAATCCAAGAAATAGCCAAATAAATTAGGGTTTTTTAAAGAAATGGAAAAAATGTTACGTCTTGTGTTGAAAATATGCAAAAGAGACCTTATGTAATGACATTCTTGACCCATAAATAGACTATTTAAACTCCTGAATGTGTTTTTTTGTATATTTGAGAGCGTTATTATTCCTGTTCTCTCTGTACAGAACTGCCCTGCAGATTTTCCACATGTTTAATGAGTTTTTTGTCTCAAAATAAAGTGAATAAAAGCAGCTTTGTGTTTCCAGTGAAACAAAGTGCGTCATTCATTCATCTGTTGCTCTCTACTGCCCCCTGGCGGACAGACTGAGGCACTGCAGGAGCTATAATAATAATAATAATAATAATAATAATAATAATAATAATATAATACATTAAATTAAACTAATTAACTACAATAATGAAAATATATTAATAATTCTCAAAATAAGGACAACATATTTAAACTATAATAATACTTTTACATACTCAAAATAATAATCAAAATTATACAAAATAAATACCAATATCATAAATATTAAAACAATTAAACTAATTAACTACAATAATACAAACACAAATATATTATAATTAAAAACAATAAACAAGAATAAAAAATCTAATAAAGATACTCACATCCATACGGCACATCGCACAACAAATAAAGACAACTCTAAAAGGTCATTTATATTAATTTAATTTCCATTTGTTAGTACAATTTATAAACAGTGACAAGGAGCTCTATCAGCAGGTAAGACGTCACAAATACAATTATTATATTTATTTAAAATTCACTTTAGCTTCTAATGAAGAGATTTAACTTCCACCAAAACTACAAAATCTAGGAAAATAAAACATTCAAAATAATAATAAATAAATGCACTCATGTGCAGGCCTACATAAACAAATAAATAACAATAAAATCCTCTCTAAATACTTTAAAGAGTCCTCTCCTGCTGATGTTCAGGTGTATATCAGTATGTAGTGTCTCTACTTTAAAGAGTCCTCTCCTGCTGATGTTCAGGTGTATATCAGTATGTAGTGTCTCTACTTTAAAGAGTCCTCTCCTGCTGATGTTCAGGTGTGTATCAGTATGTAGTGTCTCTACTTTAAAGAGTCCTCTCCTGCTGATGTTCAGGTGTATATCAGTATGTAGTGTCTCTACTTTAAAGAGTCCTCTCCTGCTGATGTTCAGGTGTATATCAGTATGTAGTGTCTCTACTTTAAAGAGTCCTCTCCTGCTGATGTTCAGGTGTATATCAGTATGTAGTGTCTCTACTTTAAAGAGTCCTCTCCTGCTGATGTTCAGGTGTATATCAGTATGTAGTGTCTCTACTTTAAAGAGTCCTCTCCTGCTGATGTTCAGGTGTATATCAGTATGTAGTGTCTCTACTTTAAAGAGTCCTCTCCTGCTGATGTTCAGGTGTATATCAGTATGTAGTGTCTCTACTTTAAAGAGTCCTCTCCTGCTGATGTTCAGGTGTATATCAGTATGTAGTATCTCTACTTTAAAGAGTCCTCTCCTGCTGATGTTCAGGTGTATATCAGTATGTAGTGTCTCTACTTTAAAGAGTCCTCTCCTGCTGATGTTCAGGTGTATATCAGTATGTAGTGTCTCTACTTTAAAGAGTCCTCTCCTGCTGATGTTCAGGTGTATATCAGTATGTAGTGTCTCTACTTTAAAGAGTCCTCTCCTGCTGATGTTCAGGTGTATATCAGTATGTAGTGTCTCTACTTTAAAGAGTCCTCTCCTGCTGATGTTCAGGTGTATATCAGTATGTAGTGTCTCTACTTTAAAGAGTCCTCTCCTGCTGATGTTCAGGTGTATATCAGTATGTAGTGTCTCTACTTTAAAGAGTCCTCTCCTGCTGATGTTCAGGTGTATATCAGTATGTAGTGGAGTATCAGGTGTATTTCTGATATTAAGACAATCATTTTTTAGTATTTAAATATGCAAATGAGGCCCCCTCTAAGCCCCGCCCCCTCTAGGTGTTCCTCAGGTAGCTGTACAGGCTGCTCAGCCCCCCCTCCAGCACCTCCTTCACTGGTTTTATCAGAGGGTTGTGAACAATATGAAGTCCTTTATCCAGAGGGTGACACGCCAACCTCTCCAACCGACACAACTGGTGCAGCTCCTGGAAACAAACATGGCCGCCTTCTTCATCACCTTCATCACCATCAACAGGATCTTGTTATATCTTAATTATGAAAAGATGGAGTTACCTGAGGGACGTCTTTAATGTCGTTAAAGTCCAGATTCAGCAGCTCCAGCCTGGAGGAATACAATTACATTTCACATTAACAGTTGAGATGAAGTTACCTGTGCAGGTGGTGTTACAGGTGTAGTAACAGGTGTAGTTTCAGGTGGTGTAGTTACAGGTGGTGTAGTTACCTGGTGAGGTGTAGTTACCTGTGCAGGTGGTGTAGTTATTGGTGCAATAACAGGTGTAGTTACCTGGTGAGGTGTAGTTACCTGTGCAGGTGGTGTAGTTATTGGTGCAATAACAGGTGTAGTTACCTGTGCAGGTGGTTTAGTTACCTGTACAGGTGGTGTAGTTATTGGTGCAATAACAGGTGTAGTTACCTGTGCAGGTGGTGTTACATGTGTAGTTTCAGGTGTAGTTACCTGTTGAGGCAGCAGAGGGCTTTGGGCAGAGAGTGGAGGTTGTTGCCCTCGACGATGAGGATCTTCAGCTCCGTCAGAGACTGGAGGTTCTCCGCCAGGTTCTCCAGACGGTTCCCGGACAGGTGGAGGAACACCTGGAGGAGGACAGGTGGAGGAAGTGAAGCTACATCACATGATCAACAGAGAACCAATAGAGATGCTGCCTTATTATCCACAAATCATATTCCCCATCTAACAAAGGGCAGGTGTTTACAGGTGTTGTTTACAGGTGTTTACAGGTGTTGTTTACAGGTGTTTACAGGTGTTGTTTACAGGTGTTTACAGGTGTTTACAGGTGGTGTTTGCAGGTGTTTACAGGTGTTGTTTACAGGTGTTTACAGGTGTTTACAGGTGTGTACAGGAGTTTACCAGAGCCTTCATGCTGTACACGGCCCCCGGCAGGTGTAACATCTGGTTCTGACTCAGGTTCAGCTTCCTGAGTCGGGTCAGACTGCAGAGAGACGCCGGCAGAGAGGAGAGCTGGTTGTTGGCCAGACTCAGGACCTGAGGGCAGGAAGTGGAGACTTCAGATCTACCTGTAGTCATTTCTGTAGTATTTACAGTAGTACCAGTAGTATTTACAGTAGTACCAGCAGTATTTACAGTAGTACCAGTAGTATTTGCAGTAGTACCAGTAGTATTTACAGTAGTACCAGTAGTATTTGCAGTAGTACCAGTAGTATTTGCAGTAGTACCAGTAGTATTTCCTGTAGTACCAGTAGTATTTACAGTAGTACCAGTAGTATTTACAGTAGTACCAGTAGTATTTACAGTAGTACCAGTAGTATTTACAGTAGTACCAGTAGTATTTACAGTAGTACCAGTAGTATTTCCTGTAGTACCAGTAGTATTTGCAGTAGTACCAGTAGTATTTACAGTAGTACCAGTAGTATTTGCAGTAGTACCAGTAGTATTTACAGTAATACCAGTAGTATTTACAGTAGTACCAGTAGTATTTACAGTAGTACCAGTAGTATTTACAGTAGTACCAGTAGTATTTGCAGTAGTACCAGTAGTATTTACAGTAGTACCAGTAGTATGTACAGTAGTACCAGTAGTATTTACAGTAGTAGGCTACCAGTAGTATTTACAGTAGTACCAGTAGTATTTACAGTAGTACCAGTAGTATTTACAGTAGTAGGCTACCAGTAGTATTTACCTCCAGCTGGGTGCAGGATCCCAGTTCTTCAGGAACCTCCATCAGGCGGTTTCTGTAGGCGAATAAAACCCTGAGTTTCTTCAGCTCTCCGATCTCTGGAGGCAGACTGCTCAGCTGAAAACAACACGTTTAATATCAGAGGTGGAAAGTAACAGAGTACTTCTACATTGTAGTACTTCTACTGTTACTGAAGTACAATATCTGAGAACTTCTGCAGGAGATACGTATAAAGACTCAAACTGAACGTCTCCATCAGGCTGTCGTTCTTTATTAAACTTCAGCACACTAACAAAGACGTGTAAACTGATATTATGGAGTCTTTACAGGTGCCTTCTGCCCCTGAGCAAGGCAGCCCCCCCCCCCCCCCCCCAATAACAGCTGCTGTCTCTGGATAAATAAAGATTATAATCCCCCATAATCCTCCAGGATCCAGTTTCTGTCCCTCCGCCCTCCACCAACCTTCAGAACCAGTGAGAGACACACAGGGACAAATCTCAAAAGTGTGTGTGTGTGTGTGTGTGTGTGTGTGTGTGTGTGTGTGTGTGTGTGTGTGTGTGTGTGTGTGTGTGTGTGTGTGTGTGTGTGTGTGTGTGTGTGTGTGTGTGTGTGTGTGTGTGTGTGTGTGTGTGTGTACCTGGTTCCCCCACAGGTTGAGCACCTCCAGGTTTCTGAGCTGAGCGAGCGGAGCAGGAAGTGACTTCAGAGAATTCAGAGAGAGGTTCAACTTCTGCAGCTCCAACAACTCCCACAATTCATCTGGAGGCTCCTATAGCAACACATACTGTTATAAACTACAACAACAATACTTATATCTAGTATTACTAATATACAGAGTTTCAGGCATGGTCCCTGAAGGCAGCATCTCTCTGGTCCACCACCACCGCTAAGCTAAAGGCGGCTAATGTTGGGCTATAAAGGAACTACAGCATGGTCACATGACTTCACGTCACCACCGCTAAGCTAAAGGTGGCTAATGTTGGGCTATAAAGGAACTACAGCACGGTCACATGACTTCACGTCACCACCGCTAAGCTAAAGGAGGCTAATGTTGGGCTATAAAGGAACTACAGCACGGTCACATGACTTCACGTCACCACCGCTAAGCTAAAGGTGGCTAATGTTGGGCTATAAAGGAACTACAGCACGGTCACATGACTTCACGTCACCACCGCTAAGCTAAAGGTGGCTAATGTTGGGCTATAAAGGAACTACAGCACGGTCACATGACTTCACGTCACCACCGCTAAGCTAAAGGAGGCTAATGTTGGGCTATAAAGGAACTACAGCACGGTCACATGACTTCACCTCACCACCGCTAAGCTAAAGGTGGCTAATGTTGGGCTATAAAGGAACTACAGCACGGTCACATGACTTCACGTCACCACCGCTAAGCTAAAGGTGGCTAATGTTGGGCTATAAAGGAACTACAGCACGGTCACATGACTTCACGTCACCACCGCTAAGCTAAAGGTGGCTAATGTTGGGCTATAAAGGAACTACAGCACGGTCACATGACTTCACGTCACCACCGCTAAGCTAAAGGTGGCTAATGTTGGGCTATAAAGGAACTACAGCACGGTCACATGACTTCACGTCACCACCGCTAAGCTAAAGGTGGCTAATGTTGGGCTATAAAGGAACTACAGCACAGTCACATGACTTCACGTCACCACCGCTAAGCTAAAGGTGGCTAATGTTGGGCTATAAAGGAACTACAGCACAGTCACATGACTTCACGTCACCACCGCTAAGCTAAAGGTGGCTAATGTTGTGCTATAAAGGAACTACAGCACGGTCACATGACTTCACGTCACCACCGCTAAGCTAAAGGTGGCTAATGTTGGGCTATAAAGGAACTACAGCACGGTCACGTGACTTCACGTCACAACCATGAGTGTACCATAGTGATGTCACTATGTTCCTGAAGTAAGGATATCGGGCCTATAATGATCATATGTAATTGTTAATCAACAATTAATTGATGTTTAATTGATTGTAGATGTTTTGCACCTTGAGTCCTCGGCGGGCGAGGCTCAGGACGGTGAATCCAAATTGTCTGACGGTGATTTTCCGGATCCGATCAGCTGACATCAGGTTTTCCTCGCCCCCCCCCACCCCTCCTCAGCTCCTCCCTCACCTGTTCCCTGCAGGAAGCTCCTCCCATCACAACCAGTTCACCTGAGATCACCTGAGATCACCTGAGATCACCTTAGGACTGCAACGCCTGCATGTTGGTCTTTAGACTCTGAAGATGGAGCAACAAAACACATATAAATATAAAAACTCAAATATTTGTATTTCCTTTTTATTTTTAATTCATGGTCATTTAATTATAAAAGGAATACTTTAAAAAAATTAAAACTGTTTTTCTGATTAATAATACTTGATGTTGTTGTTGTACCAATAGCCTTAAAAAGTACTTCCTTTATAGGAACATT